TGCTCAAATTAGGAGGGAATTGGGGGCAAACTGTGGAGGGAAAAATCCCCTTACCAATAAGAAAAGTCTCACATGGAAGAATCTGTATAAGGAAAGAACCCAGAATAAAAAGAAATCTTTATATGGAACAAAATATAGAAGGCAAGCTAGTCGAGTCTTACCATAATTTTGTCACCTATTCAATTTTAAATAGAGGCATGAGCCTACAATGTATGATATCAAAAATTCTCTAAGTAATCTATTGTGCATTGTTCTATTATTTTGGGTGTTTTGTTTTTATTCTTCAATTTATTATACAATGGTGTTTGGTTGTCGTAAAATATTTACAAAGAAAAAAAATATTAAAATATAACAAAAATAACTTATCCATCAATTTTCGACAAGTTATTTTACATGCCCCTCCCGATGGACTCGATCTCAACTTTGACGTAGACCTTTGCCAAACACCGAAAAAGTAAAAATTAAAAAACCGAAAAAGTAAAAAAAAAAAAAATTTTACCTGAAAAAAAAAAATATTTTTCAAAAAAAATATTTTACATCCAAACAAACGGAGCCTTAATGTTTTACTTTAAGGAATTGATGAAATTACTATATTTAATATTTAAATAAATATCTTTTATTTCTTGTATTAATTTTTCCTCTAGAGAGTACTTTTGTACGTGAATGTTAATGATATAAACTTCTCAACAAATGTTAGGCCAAAAGGGTAAATGACGAATTCTTCGTGATGGTCAATTAATGAACATACGGGAATGCAGGCTAATATTTACTCAGAAGCTGATAAAAATAGAGGGAGTATTCTTCGTGATATGCCACTTTACCACTTAGTGTACATAGTAGTGTAGTGTAGTGTAGTGCAATAAAATTACGGAGATTAGTTACCACTATTTATAATACATTTATTAGAAGAATAATGATGCATTTTTCGTGGTGGCCAAATAATGAATATACGGGGAATGCCGGACACTATTTATTTTCTCTAGCAAGTAAGAGTTAGTGAAAGAAGTAGTCTGAGAGATTTTACAAGAATATTTATTGTAAATAGCCAAGTTTTAATGCCATACTTTTTTTCATCTTTTTAAGTTCTAGTTGGACTGGTCAAGTATTTATTTATTTGAGGAGAAATTATATAAGAAAATTAGATTATTTATTTATAGTTATTTGTGGTGGTGGATTCTCTTCCCTTTATATATTTTTTTTTCTATTTTTTTGATTCAATTTTATCTTACTTTTTGGTGACAAAATACCAAAAAGGAATTAATTGTTCCAAAATCAGAGTTGAATTCTTGGTTTGACCCTACTTGTTATTATACATTTTTAGTTTAATGATTATAAATTCTATTTTTGTATGGAGTGTATTAACAATGATAAATTATCCAAAATAAAATTCTCTTACCAGGAAACTCTTGCTCTCAATTACAAAATAGTCACACAAGTGACATCCTTGTGAATATTCTTAAAACGTGGAAAAGTCCTTTTTGACACTTTTAAAAGAACAATGTTATTTAAATTTATTTTTCAAATCGAGGTGTTTAATTGACAAAGTTTTATTCATTTAATATAATAGATGAGACTCAAACTTCAATCTATTCATGATATCAAATGAATAAAAATACCACTAGTTAAAAGTTAGAATATAATTATTTATTTCAAAAAGCACAAAATGGTGAACAAATAGTAAATTGTAACTCGGAGTCGGAAAAGAGAAAAGATACCTAATTGTACTAAAGATTTGGTTTAATGCACAATGCATCTTGAACATACTAGAACAAAATTGTGATGCTAGAAAAAGGTTTGCAATAGGCAGGACTCAAACATATCATTCAATAACTCATCATTACAGAAAATATGAGAATAATGCATTCTTTATTGAATAAGTTGGTAAGGAGAGACCGTACACTGGTGAAGAAAATACTTATTTCCCATGAGGAGGAACCTCCTCCGTACTACTCACAAGTCATGATATGATTCGATCATATATGATAAATTTAGTTGGACTCAATTAAAAGAATATTTTCTTTTCTTATTTGCTTTTTAATGTTATAAAATGACTCATGATCTAATGATATCATGACGCATACAATTTAAAAAACCCAAAACAAGTATTGTTCAAATTTATAAATCCAGTAGAACGAAGCTAAAAAAATCAGGGTCAGACACAAAATAAACTCAAGTATAAGGACATTCAGTGATAATACAAAACTAAAATCTAGGGAATCCATAACTGATACAAAAAAAATTGTAATATAACAAACATTGACTATATGTATAAAATCTTCATGATAAACAATTTCTCTCCATTATTCACGGATTCAATTTTCTGCACAATTTGTTCACCTCAGGCAGGTAATAGTTCTCACAGTTTTCTGCACAATCCAGTATTTCTCTGCAATTCAATTCAATTCAATTCATACTTTTGGGTGAATAATTTACGTTGATTGATTGAAAATTATTAAAGTGATTGGATCAATTGGTTCTTTAATTTGACCCCAGTTCACACATGCCACAAATTTAAAGTGATAATTGGGTCTGCCTGTAAATTTTGTTTTGGGTTTCAGACATGCATGCTAGCTCTTTCTTGCATCATAGTTGATATATATATATATATATATATATATATATATATATATATATATATATGTATTTTCTGTTTAAAATAGAAACTGTGAGTAATCATTAGGCTTCTCTACTAAAGGGCATCTAGCCCAATTGTGAGGATGGAGGGCGGGAGCATAGGCAGAAAGTGTGTGTGAGTGTATTTTTTGTTAATATTAAAAATAAATAAATAAATAAATATATATATATATATATATATAAAACGAATTCGTTCCTCTTGATTGTGATTGTACAATTTGGCTGAGCTTTTATTGTTTGTCTTTGTTCAGGAAAGATGTTGGGGAATGGTCTTGATGAAGGAGAAAAGGAGCCTTCTGATTCATGTAATAATAAGGTAAACTATATGTTTTTTATGGTTATATATGAAGTGAGTTGACAAATTGAGAAGCGACTGTTGAATCAAATTTATTATTTTTACTCTCAATAACTGTGGAAAAGATGAATAGAATGTTTTCGTTATATTGCGAGCATACAGGTTGAACAACCTTGTGAACATCACAAGTGTACTTTTTAGAATTATTGGTAACATCCAAACCTTGATTGTTTTGTTGTTAGAGGGATATTTGTCCTGCTTCGAATCTGAATGGAAAGTAAAATGGGTATAAATATGTGAATATATAACATTATTTAATAATTTAAAATTTTGAGTAAATGAGTAAGTGCTCGAAAGACGTTCGAGTAAGCTAGTTTTTTCACATCGGATCTAGATGAAATTTGAAATTAATATAAATGAGTGGATATGCAGTATTATTCAATAGCCGAATAAATAGGCAAACGCCCATCTGCTAGACTATAAAAAGAAAGATCACTAATAGTTTTTTATTTTTTAGGAAATGTTTGATGATTTTTTGTTTAACAGAATACAATAGACCTTTAAATGCTGGTCTAATTTTCTTTTTCTTTTTTTTTTTTCTTTTTTTTTTTTTTAATTTTTTAATTTTTTTTAAATTTTTTCAGGTTAAGGTGGACCCGGGCAAACCGGCATCATTGACTTGGCAGCGAAAATTACATAGGAAGGAAAAAGCAATTTCAGAGTTAGGTCCAACCTTGAAAGAGATAATTGATTTGGTACGCAATTTATATAAATCCTCTGCTCACAGAGAGATACAAAATTTTGCTAAAAGTTCAGTCCTTTCATTAAATGAGTGTAATATTGAGATTTAAGATTGCAGGAGTGTTAAACAAACAAGTTTGTCTTGATAGGAGACATGGCTAGGAATGACAACGTGGGAAACTCAACTTCATTCCTGTCACTGTTTAGTAAATCATTTTATTTTCTTTCAAAATTGTTCATTAAATAGGGCGGGAGGAGATGGGGTTAGGAGAGTATTTTTGTAATTATAATTGTACTCTTTGTTTAGTCAATACACTTTTATGTAGTAAAACTTGTGCTAAATGAGGATGAGATGGCATTTTCAGCCACGAGCTGTCTCATTGGCATCCCTAATTATTTTCCCTTAAACCCATACATCCAAATTCCAGGTCCACAAAAACTGGTTTAAACCGGGCCGGGTAAATTTCCATCCCTACCCGTTTCTCTCTCTTTTGTCTCACGTGGAGCCATTGTCACAGTTTAATTTTTGTGTTATTAATATCTTGATTTCATGAATTCGAGTCTCCATGGGGTTGCAAAAAGTTACTCTTCCTACCTTTCCAAAAAAAAAAAAAAAAAAAAAGATGCTCTTCTTGAAGTATTTTCGCCTTTGGTATCAATGATCTATTGCAAAGTTAGCGTTTTGGTAATGGAGTAGGTTGCGAGCAGCTGAAGTGCTGGAGGTAGGGTAGGGGAACAGATGGATGAAGATTAGGATTTCAGAGTTAGGTATGGATATATTGACTCGAGCTATCTCCAGAATTTAGGAGATGAGATTGAATTCAATATGCCAATGGAATTGGTGTTCCTCTTTTTCTTCAATATGCCAATGGAATTGGTGTTCCTCTTTTTCTAACTTTAAAAACTGAAATTCATGTACTGAATCTGAAAGTAGTTGGACATTTTCAGAAGAAAAAAAGAAAAAGAAAAAGAATATATATATATATATATATATATATATAGTTATATAGTTATGTATGTAGATTGTAGAACTAGGGAAATTGTGGACTATGAATCGGTATACCACAACTTACAACATAAGCTGGATACAAGTGTGGTATAAAACTATATCCTATGTTATATTCAGCGACTTCGTTGATTTGTGGCAAATGTTCCCTTGCACATATGGTTGAATGCATGGAAATGAGTGAGACTGCAGACATACATGGTAGATGCATGATTCCATGATCCTTGGGGGATGGTCATGTAGAGGAGAAATTATTAGGTGTTCGGGAACTATGTTGTCCCGGCCAGACCTACCAAATAAAGTTGACACATTTAGTAGCAAGACATGGTCTGAAATCCCCGACTGTGAAGTCTGTGTACATAATTGTGTGTGTGGTGTGTGATTTAAATAAAAAAGAAAAAGAGAAAAGAAATATAAAATAAAGTGGGACCCACATCACTTTTTAAGTGATTTGTGAGACCAAAATTGGTCTCTGCTGCTCTCTCTCTCTCCCGACTGCTCTCGGCTTCTCCTTTTTCTTTTTTTCTTTTCTTTTCACTTCAACTTCCATTGTTGATTGCTCCTTCATCTTTTGTCGGATTGAGGTGCCGTTTGAGGCGAAACGAAGCTTGTAGCGAGCTCTACGCATCCATACTATCAATTTCCAGATTTGAGTCTTCCTTGGAGCTCGAATTTGGAGGACCTATTTTAGGGATTTCGGCTTGGATTGTGAGGTAGGGACATCTTAAGCCATGGAATCTTGCTCTATAATGAATCATGCTCCTCTATGTGTGTTATAGCATGTTTAATTGTTGTTGATTTTGATTAAAATGATTTAATTGACAACATGCTAGTTATGTAAATGTGTATAACATGGTTGAATGAAAAATATGTCTATGTGATGGTTGTTTACATTTTTTTTTGAGATTACTAACATGCTATAATGATGCCATGAGAACATGCTTATTTATTATTGTGCTAAGTTTCCATTTGTCATTATATTGAGATCATGACATGAGCCTACATCTCATTGGGTTGCATGAAAAAGGGAAGTAGTTGTCTTGAAATGAAAACAGGGATTTGGGAATGAATGTTTTGGGAAAAAAAATTGGTTTTAACAAACCCGGTCACTGCGGGGTTACCAACGGGCCGGAGGTTAATGTAGCCTAGGGAGGACTAGGGAGAGTACCCTAGCGTGGTTGAGCTATTCGGGCCCCTCGACGGCGCCACGGGGTCACCAAGGGCCTAGGGACGGTAGCCAATCCTCCTCTCGTCGCGGCGGGGTTACCAAAAGGGGTTACATTAACTTTGAACGTGATGGTTTTGAGAATGAAAACGGGGAGTGACATTAGCATGCATTGCATCTCACTCCATTTGCATTTGTGTGTGATTGAATTTGACTTGTACTTGTAATTGTTTTTCCCTTTCAATGCATGTCCCCAATCTCCCATTGGCCTATGCTTTATTTAGATTCACTAGGACGCAAGAATTGTGTCTTAAGTGTCACCTGCTGAGCTATATGCTCACCCCTATATCTATATATATTTTTTTCAGGTCTTGGAAAGGAACTGGTGGATGACAACCCACCTCAAGCTTGAACGGCGATAGAAGTCCACTTTTGTATCTTTGTATATTCCCCATTATTTTGTAAAACATTAGAAGTGCAAAGATGTATAATTATTTTGTGGAACTTTGTCATGTAATATAACTAAAGTATTGATGATGTTTTGGATGGGGATTTGATAGTATGCAACTTGTTGATGAATGGATGGATAATTCTAGTTTGAAGCATTGTCTAGATTAGTTGGTTGTATCATTATCTTTTGTTACCGTGAATTCAGAATTTGAGCCATGACAGGTTAAAAATGCAATTAAACAGGTTGTGATAGGCCTATTTTTAGGAGAGGTCATGCGAATTTTTTTTATTTAAAAAGTATTAGTTTTGAGTCGTTACACCGACCATCTAAAAAAATCTCCATTTAGATTCCTACGTAATCTTTATTGTCATCCCCATCTAGATTCCTAGGGTAATCTTTATTCTCTCTGGTACTGGCTTCGTGGCTCTTTGTCCTCTTAATGTGATTAACATCTCTGTTTTTCTCTAGGCTCCAATAGGTTATCGGCTTTTGCGACATATCCAACAAGAGGAAGCCAAGGGAAAGGTAATTTTCTTCTACTGTAAATGTCCAACTTACTTTGATTGGTGTTTTCCTAGGTGAGCATATAGCTTCATTTTATTTTATATTGATCTTTTGTTGCAGGGGGTGATTATGAACCCTTTTAAGAGGCGCTTTGTCACAGCTCGTCATGGTGTTCCTCTAGGTGGTATCGGGTAAAGTCCTCAATCTTCATTAGTGATCACAATTCATATACACAATTCATTTTATCAAACAGATCAGTGTAATTAATAGACAAGCTTATAATATTGATTTATGAATGTCTCTTTTAGACCATATCCTCATAATTTTAGTATCTGAAAATTGAAACACTGTCTTTGTTTAGGCAATTACAAAAGAATTTATACTTCAAATTGATTCAGCGAACATACTCAACTCTATAGTTTTTTCCCAACTATTTGGGGTTTGATTAGATGAATCCTATTTTGCCATTCCGCTGTATCCAAGGCCATAAGCTTTAGTTAGAACACGTTGTTCAGCCGACATAACAAAATTTTCTTGATTTTTATTCTTTCAAGTTGCCCCACAGGTAATTTCCTCGGATTTCTAGTTTGGTTTTCTGGTAACCAGCTATAAATTTCCTAATTTTCGCCAAAATCTCCACCAGTCCTCGAACTCCTGTCCAAAGGGTTGAAATACAAATTAACTCCAAACTCAAGCAGACTTGTAAGGACTGATAGTTCGCTAATTTTCTCACTATAAGGGCTGACAGTTTTCGTAATTTTGAATTGCCTAATTAATCTAGACATTTTTTTCATCACAGCCGTTGATACTCAATTGTAAGACCTCCATTAACCAATTGCACATACCGTTTTTTAATTAATTTTCTCCTGGTTGTTGAAAGAATACAATTTTCAGTGCAGGAAGTATCGGAAGAAGTTACAAAGGCGAATTTCTGCGTTGGCAACTATTCCCTAGAATATGTGAAGAAAATCCAGTCTTAGCAAATCAATTTTCAGTAAGTTTGATAAATATATTGAAGGCATCACTTTGTCATCCTTGAACAGTTCATGTCTACTAGAAAATCATTTCATTACAACTTTTCATTCCATTGTCCGTTGGGAGTTTCTGTCTTATCATTTTAGAATAATGTATAATGTTCCTCATTATGAAGGCTTAGCAGTTGTAAGAAAATAGATTGCAATAGAAAATAGCCACCTGGACTATTCGCCAAAGTTTTTGATTTCTAAAAGGGAAATTATTTTTCTTCAAGGCTTGAGAAGTAGTGATGACATGGTATCACTGAGTAATTAAAAACTGACACATAACAGTAGATCCCACTGAAATAGTTATATTCTTACTTATGTGGTGATGTATGATTAGTTGTTGACACTGATGACGTGGTACTTTCGAAGAATTTCTCCTAAAAGGGAAGGTGGTGTAATCGTTTAGTAAAATTGGGTATTTCAGGATCCTTAGAGAGGTAATATGGTAGCCTGGGAAAAGAAAGGATATCGACGTAATTAGGACACACACATTTGAGTAATATACTAATAGTTAGCATGAGAAGAAGCTAGCTTACCTCAGTAAGACACATACATGGAATTGTTTTTGCTTTGTCCATCGATAAATTATGTGCCATATTCAGGAAAATAAAGTTTATTTTCGGTCGAGAAATCAATACTTAGTGTCATTAGCTTAGTGTCCTTTTTCATCCAAATTTCGTTGTTATTAGAAGTTATTTTGTTTTTCTGTCTTTATATTCACAAAGGGGGAAGGTTCAATCATTTAGTAGCTCCTGTACACTTTTCCTTAGAAAGTGTTTTATGCTTTATTTCTTATTCTTAAGGTCATTTATGCATTTATATATTTAAATTCTATGTGAATTTTGTCTAAACAAAAATAGAAAGTTGGAATATGTTTAGAGGATTCTTTTAGATTCGCTTGATTTTCTGCGGCCTTATAAATAAGTCTCCTTGTTTCGTAATATCGATGTAATCTTGATGGGTTCGTGAGATCGTTACCCTAGCTCTGATGCGTTAGAGTACAAGCGATGACTTAGACATGTGAGGTTGAATAGGTGTTATAAATAATATTTTGCAATTAACTAACTTTTAAAACTGTCATTGATCCTTGTTTGAAATTCAGTTGGTTAGTTGCGATGATTGATTTTTGAGTTATAGTTTATACCTTTCAATTTTCAATTTTTGTAATCTTGTTCAGAACCATACATGTATAAAAATAGAGTAAAGTGGAGCAGAGATACATCGATTTTCATGTGAAAAATCCACAAGGAAACACCATGAGACCTAGTCTAGACTCTAGACAGGTAGAATCCACTGTATGAGAAAGAATTTAGAACTAGGCAGATAGTTCCCACACACTAGAACCCCTAGTTACCTCTTGACACAGGATGACGCCAAACTTTCCATTCAAGTCTTTAGATAGTCTGTCCTCTCGTCAATAGGTTGCACTCTCACGAATCCACTTCTCGAGGGATTGTCTACCCTTCTACACGAAATCTGATTGGTTGTTTTGATTTGAATCAATGAATTCCTCCTTAATGAACACTCAGTCACAACATGGTGAAATGTTACTGCAACTTAGTCCTTGCCAAATTATCAGAATTGCTTAATTTGAACCACGAGTCTCTCTTATGCAGGTTTTTGTTTCTCGGCCAACTGGTGAAAAGTATTCTACTGTACTGTGCCCAGGAAGCCCAGAAGTGTTCAAGTAAGCAGCTATTTTATTATATAGCCTCATTGCCACACTGTTTTTTTAGCTGCTAAATGACTGGATTCTGAAGAAATGAATAAAATAAAATTTAGCATTTATTATTATTTTTTTAATTATGGAAATTTTTATGTACAATGTATACAAATAAAGATGTCACTGAAAATAATGTGGATATATAAGCAGAGATGGTTCAGCTTCAGGAATTGGATCTTGGGACTGGAATCTGAATGGGTGCAATTCCACATATCATGCATTGTTCCCAAGGGCTTGGACTGTATACGAGGGTAATTAATTTAGGAAAATGATAAGTAGTTGAACAGTCAGACACATCTGAATTTTTTGTGTGTGAGGGATGACGTCATTATATTTAATGATGTCGTGACATCATTCCCCATTCACATAAATGTTGTCCAATGTGTTTGACTTTTGGACTCTCTATAACGGCTCTTAATTTTATATGTTTCTTTGTGACAGTGACATTCATCATGGAAAATTTTATGATACAGATGTATCTTTCTTTTCTCTTAATTTTCATACAGGAGAACCTGATCCAGAACTTCGAATAGTTTGTCGTCAAATTTCCCCTTTCATTCCCCATAACTATAAGGAGAGCAGCTTCCCTGTAACAGTATTTACTTTTACGGTAGGGAAGATTTTCTCCGAAATTTATTAATTTGCTGGAATATATGTTGATAGGTTTTTCCTTCAGTTTGATATTAAAGGGTTGGTTTCAATTTTCTGCAGCTGTTTAATATGGGAAAGTCTTCAGCAGATGTCAGCTTGCACTTCACATGGGCACTAAGTTCTTTATCTATCTTCGATCCTTGCAACATATTTATGTCAATAATTTCTTTTGTGTGGTTCATCTGATGTGTTGCATAGACTTTTGAAACAGGGTAAATTACATTTACTTCCCCTCTAGTTTGTGTTTGTTACACTTACCTCCCTTGTATCCTTTGTCATTATTATATAAACATAACTTTAACTGAAAAGATTTAAGGGTATTTTCATCATATAAATATTCAAACTTGGTCACGTCGGTTAGTGTCACTGACATAGGCAGTATTTGTTACAAACTTACAAACTAGAGAGGGTAACTGTAATATGCCAAAACACAGCGGAGGCGAGTGTAACAAACCCAAACTACGGGAGTGGTAAGTGTAATTTATCCTTTGAAAGAATTGTGTCTGATGGCAACCATTCTTGTTTAATGTGTCTTCAGAATTCTGTTGGTGGGGTTTCTGGATTGTCTGGTCGTCACAATAATTCAAAGATCAGGTAAAAACAGACATTGGATGGATCTATTCACGAATATTTTAATTTGACTTATTACTTACATAATGTTGATTAGATGGCACAAAGTAAGTGGATTAATAATTGGTACCAAGGCTTTATTAAGTTGAGGTTCTATAAATATATATAATTCTTGCATTCCTATATTTCTATCGATCTGTAGAATTATGTTTTCTAATTCTGAACTCCTTTAATGTTTGTTTTACTAGGATGAAGGATGGCATTCATGGTGTGCTCCTGCATCACATGCAAGTTTCTCATCTCTATATTTGAAAAAGAGCAATTCTACAGTTGATGACATTGCCACAACGGCTTAGAGATAAAAGTGTGTGGGGTTCACCACCTTAACCCCCCCCCCCCCCCCCCCCCCCCCCCTTATCTCTTAGTCAGTGTAGTAATGCCCTAAACCCATCAATTTTTGGTTTCTCCCTAACAACAAATATATATTAATACAGGACTGCCAATGAACAACCCCCAATTACTTTTGCTATTGCAGCAGAAGAGACAGATGTTGTTCATGTCTCAGAGTGCCCTTGCTTTGTGCTATCTGGATACTCCACCGGTTTCACCGCAAAAGACATTTGGCATGAAATAAAAGAGGTTAGTTCACCCAGTTTTGGACTTGAGCAATACACATAGATATACCTCATGGTGTTTCAATTTTCAAATGCTATTGTTGAAAAAGAGATATTCGGTTTCAATATGACCAGATTTTAAGGGATATGATAGGCGTGTAAATACAGATAGTCAATGACTAAGAATTAGGAAATTCTGTTAGTAGACAGCCTGTAGTCACAGCCTGTAGTTTCCTTTTTTAGCTCATTGTATTTCCTATTTAACTAAAGCATTGTAAGCCATTCTTTGTACGACAATATACAGATTCTTTTCAATCTTGAAATCGCCTATTTGGTATCACAGACTCTTACCGATTCTTCTGGAAAAAAAAAACGGTGAAAACTTCCTTCACTGGTCCCAGTCCATGTGGACGTACATCCGAGGCAAAGTCAAAATCGGCTACCTGACGGGAGAAAAGAAGGAACCGAAACCTGAAGATCCATCCTACTCGACTTGGGATGCAGAGAATTTGATGATGATGACCTGGTTGGTGAATTCTATGGAGGAGGACATCAGTTCTAATTATATGTGTTACCACACAGCAAAAGAACTCTGGGACAATGTCAACCAGATGTGTTCAGACCTGGGAAATTAGTCTCAAGTTTATGAACTAACGCTGAAACTCGGAGAGATCCGTCAAGGAGATAACAGTGTTACAAAATATTTCAACTCTCTAAACGTTTGTGGCAAGACCTTGATTTGTTCAGTGATTATGAGTGGAAATCGCCTGAAGATTGCAACCATTACAAAAAGAAGGTGGAAGACAACCGCATCTTCAAGTTTCTCATTGGACTCAATGTCGAGTTTGATGAAGTGAGAGGCAGAATAATTGGACGACAGCCCCTGCCTTTAATCGGTGAAGTCTTCTCCGAGGTTCGAAGAGAGGAAAGTCACAGGCTGGTCATGCTTGGAAAAAAGTCATCAAATGGTGCTGTTGAGACCTCTGCCCTGGTCGCATCTGAAGCGAATATTGGCAGGAAGCATGATGAAAAGCCCCGCCTTTGGTGTGACCACTGCAATAAGCTTCGCCAAACCCGTGAAACCTGCTAGAAAATTCATAGTAAACCAGCGAATTGGAAGAGTAAGTAGGAAGGCGATTCAACCAGGAAGGCAGATTCAACCGAGCCCCATCAGCTTATGAAGCCGAGGCACTTCCCTTCAGCAAAGAACAGATGGATTATCTTCTAAAATTGCTGAAATTCAATTCCTCATCTGGTACTCCTAATGCTTCTCTTGCTCAAACAGGTAACAACCTGAGGGCCTTATCTTGTCGTTCAAATTCTATTGTTACCCTATGGATCATTAATTCAGGGACTTCAGACTAGATGACAAGTTTTTCTCATTTATTTCAAACTTATTCACCCTGATCTGGCTCTGAAAAAATCAAAATAGTCGATGGTTCTTATTATCTTATTGCAAGCAAAGGTTTGGTCAAACTTTCAAAAATTATTGATCTGCAAAGGTTTGGTCAAACTTTCAAAAATTATTGATCTTAAGTCTGTCCTTCATGTCCCTAAGCTTGCTTGTAACCTTTTATCAAATAGTAAATTGTCCAAAGACTCTAATTGTCGTGTTATCTTTTTTGAATCCTATTGTGAATTTCAGGACCAGAGCTTGGGGAAGACGATTGGTAGTGCTAAGATGATAGATGGTCTTTACTATTTTGAAGATGATATTTCAAGTAATAAAAAGGCTCAAGGTCTGAGTAGTTTTCATTCTATCCCTGTTAGAGAACAAATAATGCTATGGCATTTTAGACTAGGGCATCCTAGTTTCCTTTATCTTAAAAAATTATTTCCTACTTTGTTTAAAGGATTGGATTGTTCATCTTTTTATTGTGAGAATTGTTTTTTTTTTTTTATCAAAAAGTCATCGAACTACGTATTCTCCCAAACCTTACCAAACATCAAAACCATTTTATTTAATCCATAATGATGTTTGTGGCCCTTCTAGGATCACAACTCTTTTTGAAAAAAAAATGGTTTGTGACTTTTATTGATGATCATACACGTTTGTCTTGGGTGTATTTAATGAATGAAAAATCTGAGGTTGAAAAATTATTCAAGGATTTCTATATGATGATTGAAAATCAATTTCAAACAAAAATTGACATTCTTCATACTGATAATGGTACCGAATACTTTCATGAAGTTTTAGGAAGTTTTTTAACAGAAAAATGAATTTTTCACCAATCCACTTGTGTTGACACGTCCCAACAAAACAAAATTGCTGAAAGAAAGAATAAACATTTACTTGAAGTTTGAATAAACATTTACTTGAAGTTTCTTGTGCCATCATGTTTTCAATGAATGTTCCTAAGTATTTGTGGGGTGAAACCGTTTTAACAGCATCATATTTGATTAAAAGGATGCCTACTCGTGTTCTTAACTATTTTACACCCCTTGAAAGCCTTAAAAAATATTTTCCTGAAACTCGGATTTTTTCCAACCTACCTTTGAAAGTATTTGAGTGCACTGTCTTTGTCCATTTACCTAGTAGACTTCGGTCTAAATTGGATCCTCGGGCTGAAAATTGTGTACTTGTTGGGTATGCCTCGAATAAAAAGGGGTACAAATGCTTCAATCCGAAAACAAAAAGAAATGTTTATTAGTATGGATGTCTTTTTTCTAGAAAGTCATCCTTATTTTCAGAAAACTTTTCTTCAGGGGGAGAAAGAGAGTGAAGAAAACTTTTGGGAGATTTCTACTAATATTCCCTTACCAAAAACTATTGTCTCACACTCTATTACTCCGAACACTGATCTTTTTAAACAGGGAAATGATGTTCTAGAATCAAAAAACCCAGGGCCTCCTAGTCCTAATCTGTTGAGCCTTACTGTATCTCCAACAGGGGGAGAAATCCTACCAACGGTTCCAAAAAAACCGAATCCTGAGCTTCTGGTTTATAACAGTAAAAAGACTCATCAAAAGAGTAGAGAGCCTACTATTGCACCTGAGCAAGGCCAATCAAAGGTCCCGAGCAATGACTCCCTGAACATTCAAGGTACTATAAATCCTAACTTATCTGTAGTTGTCCCTACTATTTCTGATCGTACAAAGTCACCTAGCCAAGTTCATGTAGACCTTCATATCCCTATAGCGGTTAGAAAAGGAACCCAAACCTGTACCCAGCATCCCATTGCCAAATGTTTGTCTTATGATAAACTTTCCCATAAACATAGGGCCTTTACTTCAAATATTTCTCACTTGTTTGTTACAAGAAACATTCAAGAAGCACTAGATGATCCGAATTGGAAATCAACAGTGTTAGAGGAGATGAATGCTCTTAAAAGAAGTGGAACGTGGGAGATAGTTGACTTGCCCAAAGGAAAGAAAACTGTTGAGTGTAAATGGGTTTTCACTATTAAGTGTAAAGCTGATGGTAGTGTGGAAAGGTACTAGGCAAGACTTGTGGCGAAAGGTTTTACGTAAACATACGGCATTGATTACCAAGAGACGTTTGCTCCTATAGCAAAAATAAATTCTATCCGAGTCTTATTGTCGTTGGCAGTCAATTCTAACTGGCCATTACATCAGTTGGACATAAAAAAATATCTTTTTAAATGGAGACTTGGAAGAATATTGTGTATGTGGATGAAAAATACTGACCATACCATGTTCTACAAACACGGTGAGGAAGGGAAAATTGCCGTTTTAATTGTGTATGTGGATGATATAATTTTGACAGGTGATGACATTGAAGACTTGACCAGACTGAAGAAGAAACTTGCTAAAGATTTTGAAGTCAAAGATCTGGGAGCAATAAAATACTTCCTTGGAATGGAATTTGCCAGGTCAAGAGAAGGAATTTTCGTGAATCAATGAAAATATGTGCTTGATTTGCTTAATGAGACAGGACTACTCGGGTGTAAAGCTGCTGACACTCCAATTGAAGTTAACCTGAAGTTAGAAGCTGCCAAACCCGAGAATATGGTTGATCGTGAAAGATATCAGAGATTGGTGGGAAGACTAATTTACTTATCTCACACACGCCCAGATATAGCATTTGCAGTCAATATGGTGAGTCAGTTCATGCATTCTCCTAGACAGGAACACTTTGAAGCAGTGTACAGGATTCAGAGGTACTTAAAGGGCTCACCAGGTAAAAGACTTATGTTCAAGAAACAAGGTCATTTGCAAGTGGAGGTGTACACAGATGCTGATTGGTCTAGCAGTACAGTTGATAAATGATCTACCTCAGGATATTGCACCTTCGTTGGAGGAAACTTAGTCACGTGGAGAAGCAAGAAACAAAATGTAGTAGTGAGGAGTAGTGCAGAAGCCGAGTTCAGAGCATTTGCCCATGGGATTTACGAAGCTATGTGGTTAAAAAGACTCCTTAAAGATTTGAAGGTTATTGTTTCTCCTCCAATGAGAGTCTACTATGACAACAAGGTTGCCATTTCAATTGCTCATAATCCAGTCCTCCACGACAGAACCAAACATATGGAAGTTGACAAACACTTTATCAAGGAAAAGCTTAACTGTGGTATGATTTGCATTCCTTATGTCTCTATTACTGAACAAGCTGCAGACATCTTTACCAAAGGACTACACAAGAGACAATTTGAAGTTTTAAGAAGCAAGCTAGCTATGGAAGACATCTACAAGCCAACTTGAGGGGGAGTGTTGAAAAAGAGATATTCGGTTTCAATAAGACCAGATTTTTGGGGATATGATAGGCATGTAAATTTAGATAGTCAATGACTAAGAATTAGGAAATTCTGTTAGTATACAGCCTGTAGTCACAGCCTGTAATTTCCTTTTTTAGCTCATTGTATTTCGTATTTAACTAAAGCATTGTAAGCCATTCTTTGTACGACAATATATAGATTCTTTTCAATCTTGAAATCGTCTATTGCAACTCATCATGAAGATATATATCTCTTTGTGTGCGCTTCATTTGAAATTAGTTTTACCTGTTCTGAGTTATTTGTACTTCATTTTTGTATTTCTATACACTAATACTCTTGAACAAATTCCACAACATGAAATTAAATATTACTTTGATCAAATAAAAGAAATTTATAGAAACTGGAAAGAATTACTGCAAGTTGCTTTTAACAAATGTATAACCCTTACCTAAGTTTGACAAACTGTGATGCACCATGATCTAGAATGAATAGTTAGGATAGCGAACAAAGTTTGATATTCATGAAAGTTTATACTCCATCAGATTTTATTTTATTTTTTCTGTTAATTTCTGTATCTTTGAAATGAGAAAATTGGTGTTGTAGCCTCTTCTTGAGGCTTATTCTTTCCTTTGGAGGTGATGATATTTTCACTCATCCAATTGCCTTTGTTTTTTAATACTGTTTTGTGATACTATTGGCTACAAATATGGACATTGACATAGGGTAAGGACATGATAGCATATTGATATGTTAGGACAACAATTCCTAAAAAAGTAGATTGGGTACTACAACAAAGAAATATATTCTTATATGCAAAATTATAGTATGTACGGTAGTAATAATAAAACTGCTAAACATGTTCATTCCAATTATATTGCTAGTAGTAATAAAATTGCTGCAAAACCTTTTGATCTTGTTCATTCTGATGAGTGTGGGTCTTAGGGTGTGCGTGCTTTGTTTAGCAAATGGGGTAAACTCGTAGAAAGCTCGAACCCAAGGCATTGAAGTGCGTACTTTTGGGCTGTTCACAATCTCAGAAAGGACTTTTTTAATAACAGATTTATCCATCCTCTTAGTCGTCAGCGGTTTATATCCGTGTATGTCTCTTACATTGAGCATACACCTAAGGCTGTAAATTAACCGAGCGTTGACAAATAGCTCGAGCTCGACTTGATAATAGCTCGGCTAGTGTTCGTATACTTAGTAAATGAACCAAACTCAAACTAGTTTTCTAAGCTCGTTTCGTAAACAACCTTGGGCTTGGCTCATTAGTTCATGAACATGTTTATGAACAATTTGTTCATGAACATGGTCATTTATGTGTGTGTGTATATACTATGTGTTAGGGGAGAAATCCACACGGTCTGATATGATACCGTTTTCTTGCAAAGAAGAGAGTAGAAGATCGATGAATCTTGACGGTACTGGTGTTGTGCCTGCCAAGAGCTCTCCGACGATCAAGTCAGTCACCAGATGTCTAAAAGAAAGGCACGGATTTAATAATCATTTTTTGTCGTCCCTTTATTGACTGGTAGGATCTCATTCTTATAGTCGCTCTCCTTTAGTTCATTTGCGGGATCAGAGGAGATCCGCTTGTGCGAGATCAGAGGAGATCCGTTTGTTGCCAGATTTGTCGGGGATATGATTTAACCCTTTCGACTTCCTCAAATTGTGCCAAGGTTATCCTTACCCTGTTGAACCACGTCATCTTTTATAATCCTTGATAATGAAATATTATCATTCTTATCCAATGGAAATATCATCGTTCGAAAGTTAAAGAGGTCTGGCAGCTGGTCAACACTTAGTTGCCTCTATCCTTAGGGCAAGGTAGGTTAGGTTTATTTTTTCCTATCAGTTGTCCTCTATTCCTAAGCTTGCTCATCTAGCTTTGGGAATGTGAAATTTTTTTTTCCCCTTGGCACTGTTCCCTCGGGAATAGTGCCACCAGTACTGTTCACTTGAACAGTATTTTTATTTTTATTTTTATTTATTTATTTTTTTTTGGTACCCTTGGGAACTCTTCTTTTGGGTAATGTTCTCTGGGGTACTCTTCCCTTGGGTAATGTTTCTTTGGGTAATCTTCCCTTGGGTACTATTCCCATGGATACTATTCCCAATGGTGGAATTAATACAGATACCAAATCAAGGTTCTATTTTGGAAGGGCATGGATTCAAACCCACGGTCAATGACTCTTAGTGATGTAAAACTGGATTTTTCGTTTGAAAATCCAATGTACTAGTTGTAAACTTTATGGGTTTCAGTCAGCCCATCCCTTTGGCAAGGAAATAAATTTTACGAGCTTCACTCAGCTCGTCACTCCTTTAATAAGGGAACGAGTTTCACTCAGCT